TTTTTTTTTTTTTTGAGACAGAGTTTCACTTTGTGCCAGACTAGAGTGAGTGCTGTGGCATCAGCCTAGCTCACAGCAACCTCAATCTCCTGGGCTCAAGCGATCCTACTGCCTCAGCCTCCCGAGTAGCTGGGACTATAGGCATGCGCCACCATGCTTGGCTAATTTTTCTGTATATATATTTCTCATTGGTATTAATTTCTTCTATTTATAGTAGAGAGGGGTTCTCGCCTTGCTGCGCTGGTTTCAAACTCCTGACCTCGAGCAATCAGTCCACCTCTGCCTCCCAGAGTGCTTGGATTACAGGTGTGAGCCACTGCGCCCGGCTTCACAGCATTTCTGCCAAGTATGAAAACCAGCATTTTTTGCTGCAGTTTCCAAGATTGCATGTTAGATGTTTAGTCCCCCAGCCATTAAATCACCTCTCCCCATTAGAAGTCCCACTGCCTCCAAGAGGAATTCTGTACAGACTCACACATATAATCCATCACTACATCTCTTTTCTGAAGTCCTTGGGCCCACTGCTATCCTTGGGCAACTTCTCTTCTTCTAATCCAACACCTCCTCCATCTTCTCCTTTTCTTTTTTTTTTTTTTTTTGAGACAGGGTTTCACTTTGTTGCCCAGGCTACAGTGAGTGCCATGGCGTCAGCCTGGCTCACAGCAACCTTAAACTCCTGGGCTCAAGCAATCTTATTGCCTCAGCCTCCTGAGTAGCTGGGACTACAGGCATGCACCACCATGCCCGGCTAATTTTTTCTATATATATTTTAGTTGGCCAATTAATTTCTTTCTATTTATAGTAGAGATGGGGTCTCACCTTACTCAAGCTGGGTTTCGAACTCCTGACCTCGAGCAATCGCCCGCTCAGCCTCCCAGAGTGCTAGCATTACAGGCATGAGCCACGGCCTGGCCCATCTTCTTTTCAAGAACACCCGCTAAATTAAGTTCCATTCCCACACAAGAATCTGGATAAAGGTGTAGAACAGGTGTTTTTCTACTTTGCTTTGGGACCAGAAAACACAAAATTCACTAACAATCCCATGGAACAAGAAACCCAGAATTCCTGGAAGAAAGGAGAACAAAGTTACCTTTTTATCTTACTGGTGTCTCCTCTGGCAAGGAGTAGAAGATAGAAATTAATAACTCGGTAAATGATTTTGCCATAAATGTAAATTAATAAGCACAGAATAAGTATGCAGTATTACCTTCTGTTTCCCATCAGGACTTAATTTACCTTCATTATCCAAAGGTTGCAAAAACAAATACCAGGCAGTAATATCAATGAGTAAAATGGACAAGTCTGGCCGGGTGTGGTAGCTCACGCCTGTAATCCTAGCACTTTGGAGGCCGAGGCGGCGGAGGATTGTTTGAGCTCAGGAGTTCGAGATTAGCCTGAGCAAGAGCGAAACCCTGTCTCTACTATAAATAGAAAGAATTAGCCAAACAACTAAAAATAGAAAAAATTAGCTGGGCGCGTGTGGCACATGCCTATAGTCCTAGCTACTCCGGAGGCTGAGGCAGGAGGATGGCTTCAGCCCAGGAGTTTGAGGTTGCTGTGAGCTAGGCTGACGTCATGGCACGCTAGCCCAGGCAATACAGTGAGACTCTGTCTCAAAAAAAAAAAAAAAAAAAAGGACAAGTCTAAGAAAACAAAATTATAGGCACAATGATTAACAGCAACTAGCCTTTAGTCTTGGCATTAAGTATAAAAACATGGTGAGAACTACAGTGAACTGGAGAGCACATGTCCACTCCAAAGGGAGCAAATGCTACTTAGCTCCAAACAGCCTCTACTTTGAGGGAATGCAAGCCCAGTGTTGCCAGATTTTGAGTTGGACATACTATTATGTATAACCTACTGATTTGCAATATTGCTATTCATTCAAGTTTTTTTAGAAAAGCTGCTGACTACATTGGATCAAATGTTACATATCAGTAGGTCTCATTATTGTTTTTTTTTTTTTTTTGAGAAGAGTCTGGCTTTGTTGTCCAGGCTAGAGTGAGTGCCATGGCTCAGCCTAGCTCACAGCAACCTCAAACTCCTGGCTCAAGGATCCTTCTGCCTCAGCCTCCCGGGTAGCTGGGACTCAGGCATGCGCCGACCACATGCCCGGCTAATTTTTTATATATATATCAGTTGGCCAATTAATTTCTTTCTATTTATAGTAGAGGCAGGGTCTCGCTCTTTCTCAGGCTGGTTTTGAACTCCTGACCTTGAGCAATCCGTCCGCCTCGGCCTCCCAGAGAGCTAGGATTACAGGCGTGAGCCACCGCATCATTATGCTTTTAAATGGTTTCAGCTGCTACATAATATGCTGCTAGATATCAAATTTACATCTCCCCCATAGACTGCTCTCCCAAGCTTCAGATCCGTGTATCTAAGTATCACTTGCCTAGCTTTACCTTGAAGCATTATAGGAACCTAAAATGGAACCCATCACAATCCTAAATTGGTTCCCAGGTCTATGTTCTTTATCTCAGTGAAATAGCACCAATATAAATTCAGTTTCCCAAGTCAGAAACCTTGGAGTCATTCTCAACTTCTTCTCTCCCTCATCTCATCCCCTTGGTAACCAAGTCTAATCAATTATATTTCTGGAATTCTACTTGAATTTATTATTCTCCATTCCTGCCATCACTACCTTGGTTCAGGCCTCATTTTTTGTTTTGCTTTAAGTAAGGCAAGAGTCTCTCTCTTTTTTGTGTGTGTGTGAATAAGTTATACTTTTATTTTTCAGAAGCAAAAATGACAAGTGGCAACCTGCCTTTGTAAAAGACATTAAAGACTATCAGAGTAATAAGCTATCTATCTCACAGAGACAACAGCCTGAGAAAGACTATTTTACAGCTCTCAACGAAAGTCCTATTAAATAAATCTCAGAATTATATACTTTTTACTAAATCAATAAAACAAAAATAACCACCACAACAAAATTATTTAGAACTCATGAAGTGGTATGTGAAGAAGGAAAAAGGAAAATCTGGAAATCCACATATTGGGAGATCTCTATTAAAATCAAGGAGGTTCAAATCTGTTTCTTTTTGAAAATATTTAATGAATATAACTATGTTTTTCTAAATGCTTCATTAGTAATACTCAGTCTTGTAAGTCTGGTTCCATGATAATCTATAATGTAACTACTTCCATCTGAAGGTTCAACAATCTGCATTGAAATAAAAATGAAATCAATTAGGCTCCCAATTCCACAAAACCCTATAGTGCAAAACTTTAACAAACCCAAGGCAGGGTATCCAAGGTAAAATCAATCTGCTCCCAACCATCCAAGAAAAAGAGACAATGCAACTGCCACTTTGTATGAATAGCCATTTACATTTCGGCCAGATATGGGATTGAGAAAACCAATTTCAGTTCCAGTAAAATGTGTTTCATTGCCACTGAAATCCTTACAAGTTATGTTGGGTGCTGGAAAACATGGAACGTGAGCTCGAGTAGCATCATTTATTTTGGGATCTTTACAGATATATTGTCCCACTTTGAGGTCCTCACACTTAAGCAACTCCTCGCCTCCGGTGGCAGCAGCCTCCCAAGGTCCCATGGTGCCTGAGACGAGCCACAGGACACCGAGGAACTGGGCAGCCATGCCCCAGTGCAGCCAGCCAGGAGGGCCAGGAGGCCGCCATGTTGGAGACTGGCACATTCCCCACAACCACAAGAGTCTCTCTTGCCCTCACCATAGCTACAGTGTGATATTTCCAAGACACAAACTTGATCTTGTCACTTTCTTGTTTAAAAGTCTTCAATGGTTTCCCACCACCTTCAGGACAAATTTCCAACTTCTTAGCCTGGGATTTAGGGCCCTTTGTGATCTTGTCTTTCCAAGTTCACCTCCTACCACATCCATAACTCCCCACCAATGCTACTGCCACACTGAAATACTTTCATTTCTATAATGGGATATGCTTTCCTTGTCATAGCACCTTCACACAGGCTGTTCATATTGCTTGATTGTCCTTCTCTCACTCCTTGCACTAGCTATATCCTCATTTTCTTGGTTCCTCAAGCATTAATCATCTCTTCTGGAAAGCACCTCCCAATAAGCAACCCTCTTCTCCAGGCTGGTAAATATCCGTTTTCTGCACCCATAGTAGCCTGGGCATATCTCTATTTTCATTGTCTATTACTTCACTATTTCCCCCTCGGAAATGGGACCTACTTTAGTACAGAGATTCTGTCTTAACTTCTGTTGCCTCAAGACTGAGCACGATATTGTAATAGGCACTCAATAAATGATCTGTAATAGGCACTCAACAAATGTATGTTGCAAAAATGATTCAATCAATCCAGTCCAACTCATGGTGCCAATGGAGAAACCTCTTTTGGCTTCTCAGGATCACGTGACCAGCCAGTGCCATTCAGTGACAGAGCTAGAGAACCTAGCTCACTTTCAGAACCTCCTCACTTTCAGCTCGGCACACTTTCTACCAGACTAAGTTGAACTTTATAATGGGACAAGAGGAGTGTTAAATCATACTGGGAAGGCAGGGATTGAAGTTTGGCCCTGAAAGAAAGGGGTGACATGGAACAGAGTGATGGTTTTAGGAGAAAGTGGAGCAAATGAAGAGAAATGGTCAAACCCATTTGATTTATTTGTCAGCCTTAACATGAATGCTCAAAAGATCTCAGCCAATCTCAGGCAACTGTCAAAGAAAAGTTCACAGCTAACATGAGCATAAAAAAGAGGGGATAGGCCAGGCGCAGTGGCTCACGCTTACAATCCTAGCACTCTGGGAGGCCGAGGCAGGAGGATCACTCAAGGTCAGGAGTTCAAAATCAGCCTGAGCAAGGACGAGGCATTGTCTCTACTAAAAATAGAAATTAATCGGCCAACTAAAAGTATATAGAAAAAATTAGCTGGACATGGTGGTACATGCCTGTAGTTCCAGCTACTCGGGAGGCTAAGGCAGAAGAATTTCTTGAGCCCAGGAGTTTGAAGTTGCTGTGAGCTAGACTGATGCCATGGCACTCTAGCCCAGGCAACAGAGTGAGAGTCTATCTCAAAAAAAAAGGGGGGATAGACACCACCTATTAAACATAGAACAAAGCTTGTAATCAGAAACTTTAAAAGAAATAAATTTTTAATATAGCATACACTATGTACCAGGTATTATTCTAACCAAATACATTTATTCATTTAACCCTCAATTTATGTGGTAATATCACCCCATTTTATAGATATGAAAATTGAGGTGCTGAAAGATTAAGTAGTTTGAGGTTTCACAAGTAAGAAGTGGCAGAGCTAGGATTTGAATAAGGCAGTTCAATGCTACAATCCATGTCCTTAACCACAATGCCTAAAGCTTAATTCCGACCATGGCAATCTAGACAAAACTGGATCACCCAGATTTCACTGTATGAAGTATGAGTTGTATTTTTTGGTCCTACATGCAGGGAGAAGGCTGTTAGCTCTGAACCCATGTGGGGGATGGGAGTTCTTTGTTCTGTGATGCACTGATGACCTCAGGCTAAACTGCCACTAGGCTAAAGAATATGGAATGGCTGCTGGAGGACTTGCTAGGGGCTGGGGGGGATACAGGCCTTCTCTGGAGCCAACTGACCCATGCCCTGTCTTGTAGATACTGTGGCAGCAGCTGTCTCCAGAGTCCAGGAAATCTGGTGACACTATTCTTATTCATAGTTTGGCAGATCCGGAGATGGTGGCAGCTTGGGAGATTGCAACAGCTCCATCCTTGGTTCTCTGGGGACATGACGCAAGGCAAGGTGGGTGACCTCTTTACTATAGATGTGCAGACTGTTGACACATGTGAAGTTAGGTGAGGGATCACTGGTATGGATGTGGGCCCAAGTGAGGGACTATCAGCTCTAGATGTGAGGCTGGCTAAGTGACCACTGACACTAGATTTGAAGCCAGGTGAGTGATCACTAACCCTAGATATAGAGGTATACGAAGGAATGCTAATTTTTAAATAAGGACTGGGTAATGACCATTAATACTGGATGAGGAGCTGGGTGAGTGCTGACTACAGATGTGGGGCCAGGTGAGTGACTGTTCACTCTGGATGTGGAGCACAGACTTTCGGCTTCATAACAAACTTGAGTCTCCAAAGGCTTCGTGCCTGATAGTGTCTTTCTGTACTCCCCAGGGCCTACCACTTCTGTACCATGTGGCCTTCCTTGATCACCTGTGGAAGCAGAAATCAGAGGTAGAAGAAGAGGAAGAAGAGGAAGAAGAGGAAGAGGAAGAAGAGGAAGAAGCATCTGTGGATCCACTGAAACCATGTTCTCCTCCCAAAGAAGCTCCCAATGGAGAGCAAGCCACCACAGCCCTACCAGAGCCATCCTATGGTTCTGAGGGCCCCCCCAAGGCCACACAGACACCACAGCAAATATTCATGCAGCTCCAAAGCCCTTCCAGATCTTTTCCCACCTTCCAGATCCTGACCAACCTACCTGTGAGGCGTAAGACAGGATCAGGGAGTCACCAGCACCATAGAAAAAGCCAGCTCTTCTGGGGTCTCCCCTTTCTGCACAGCGAGTCCTTGGAGGCCATCTTCCTGAGCTCAGGTGGCCTCTCTCCCCTGAAATTATCTGTTTGTCCTTCTGTCTTTTTCAACAAGCTTATCTTCCTGCCTAGGTCCAACCTGTTGTTTCCCCAGTATCACTCCTCAATCCAGTTTCCTACCCATGAAGCCCATACTATGGAAGACCTGGAAGAGATGGCCCCTAGACCTCAGCTACTTCCATTTCCATCTTATGCTGTCCCATCACCACCAGTCCATCTTAAGCCCTTGCCTATGGACCATAAGCGAGTCCTATCTAGCACTGAGGTACCCACACAGCGGCTTACACAGCAGGGAAAGGTCACTTGGGTCTCTGAGGATCAAGCCCTGCACTCACAGCCTGAACTCCAAAGAGCCAGACCCTCTAAGCTTTTCTCCTCATCTGAGGCCTGGTGTGGGTTGCCATGGGACCCCAGCCTCCAACGACACAACCCAGATTCACCCTCTGCTTCTCTGCTATATCCTTCTAGCCTTGTGGGAATCCAGACTAGGTTTGAGGCCCCATGGAAGACCATGGGACAAAATGAAGACCCCAAAGCCTCTGAGCCAGCAATGCCAGCTCCCAGCCTAACCCCAGCCTCCCTGACAGAACTCCAGAGAGTCAGCCCTATAGAAGGCCTGTCTGGATCTAAGGCCCTCTGGGAAACCACAGGGCAAAAAGAGAACTGTCAGATCTCTGTTCCCCTAAACATGTCCCCTTGCCAACTCCCAGTCCCTATGACAGAGCCTCAAGGAACCAGCCCCCTGGGAGAGCCCCCTGACTATAAGACTCAGTGGGGAACCATGGGACACAAAGAGAGCCCTCAAGCTTCTGAGCCTCCAATGTCAGCCCCCTGCCAGCCCCCAGCATCTCTGTCAGAACCCCAAAATTTTAACTCTGAAGGAGGTCTTCTTATACCTAAGGAATTCTGGGGAACTACAGGACACAAAGAGAACCCTCAGGCTCCTGAGTCTTCAATGCCAGTCCCCGGCCCTCCCCTGGACTCCCTCACAGAACTCCAGGGAGAGAGTCCCTTGGAAGATCCATCCAGATATGAGCCCCAGTGGGGATTCAGAGAAAATTCAGGAAACTGCTGGGCCTTTGAACCCCCAGCCTTAGACCCCAACCCAGGGATCCATGGACCCAGCCCTGCATGTGTCCCATCAGGATCTGAGACTCCATGGAAGGGTGTACAGAGTAGAGAAAATCTTTGGGTCTCTGCACACCCAGTTTTACCTGCCAGACTTCCCTCAGCCTCTCTGCTAGAATCTCTAGTAATGGCCCCCCATGGAGTCCTGTCTGAATCCAAAGCTTTGCAGGAGACCATAGGGCAGAGAGAGAACCTCTGGGCACCTAACTCCTCAGACCCTGCCCATAGTACAGCTCTAGCCCCCCGTATAGACACGCATAGAATCAATCCTGCAGAAGGCCTTGCCAGAGCAGAAACTATAAGGAAGGACACTGAGCATTTCAGGAATTCCTGGGCTTCTGAGCCCCCATCTCTGGCCCCACCCTCAGCTCTTATACTAGAGCTCCAGAGAGTTAGCTCCAGGGGAGTCCTGTTTAATTCTAAGGCTAGATGTGGGAAAATAAAAAGGAGAAAGAACTCCTGGGCCTCTAAGCTGCCAGCTTGCAGCTTACCCCAAGACCTGCATGTAGCCAGCCCCCTGAGAGTCTTGCCTGACTATGAGCCTGCTGGTGGGGACACAGAGCAGAAAGAAAACTGTTGTGTTCCTGTGTTCCCAGGTTGGGGCCCCAGCCTACCACCAAACTCTGTTTCAAAGTCCCACATAAGTGAGCCCATTGGAGACCAATGCAACTCTAAGTCTGAGGGGGAAGCAGCAGTGGAGCAGAGAAAGAACTGCTGGGCCACTGAGCTCCCAGTCCCCAGCTCACACTCAGCTCCCCCACCAGAGCCACACATTGACCTTGAATTTGTGTGGAGATGCGCACAACAAAAAGTCCCCCAGGACCCCAGCCCTCCAGAAGTTGAATCCCTGCAGGCAATACCTTGGCTTCCCACCCTAGCTGAAGCTGTGAAGATTGTGCCCACCTACCCTGGCCTACCCAACGGAGAGATGTTTCCAGTGTCTAAGGCTGAGGACCCACTCTCCCAGAGAGAGGCAGTCCCAGAGGTGGTCACTAACCCTGGGACCCATGCCTGGCACTGGAGCAAAGAGTTGGAACTCAGGCTGAAGACACTGCAGCAGAGCCCTGCTTCCAGATCCCCTGGCCCAAGTCAACTATTTTGTAGCTCCCCTGCCTTGAGCTCTACAACTCCAGACTCCTGGGGACTCTCTTCCTGCCCCCCCCAGATTTATCTCCCCAACCTGTACTCCTACTCTTCAAGCTGTCATCCCCAAAAAGTTCAGAGCACAGTACCTCAGTCTATACAGGTCCCCCACTGTCATTACTCCCAATCCTCTTTCCAGCCTCAGCCACAAGGGTCTGGCAGAGCAGAACAAGGGCCTCAGAGAGAAGAGAAGAGGAAGGGGAAGACGGTGGCCCAGGTCTCATCCCAGGGGTCATGTGTACACATGGAAGCTGGTGAGATCTATCCAGGCCCTGGAGAGCCCTCAAACCCTGAGGTTCTAGCCTCAGGCAAGAGACACAACAAGGCTTCAGCCCTATCTTTAGCCAAAAAGGGCGAGAGCCCCAGAAAACCAAAAACTGGAGACCATGGAGGAGGGAATGCAAGATTGGGGTCACCCACGGTCACAGGGAAGAGCCACCCTGCCCAGGCCCAAAGACTAGTAGAGGCTCCTGTAAGCACACTTTCCCCAAAGTCTCAACACAGGGGCCAGAGCTCTCAACACACTGCTCTCCCCCAGCAGCTTCTCCCCAAGGTTTCAGGTCCCTACGACCACCTGGGGAAAGAACTGAGAGCTGGTGACATCCAGAACCCTCACCACTGTAAGCACTGTCCTTGGGCCCACACAAAGAAGCATCTCTCTTCCCCCACACCTCAGGCTCACGTTACCCGGGGTCTCCAAAGAGTGTTAGCCAAATTTTTGGGTAACCGTGGACCCCTGGTCACCAAATCTAGCCAGGGGAAGGCTGGTAGTACTGGCACTTAGTACCCCAAGACTGGAAACCAAGCCAGGTAGAGGGTGGGGAGATGGGGAGACAGGCAAAAGAAATCCTAATAAACTAGCTGAAATAGATAAATTCCACTCATGTCTTCTTTGGAGTCTAGGTTACTGGGAAAGTCAGTTCCCCTACTGCTGCAGCCATATTCCCTCTGGACAAAGTCCCACAAGTAAAGAACTCAGGATTCTGAAGGTTTAGTTTACTTTTATAGACATGCACAGATGATCACATCTGGAGTCTACACATCCCTACTCTATAAGGAGCAGAGCCCAATACTGCCCATGAGAGGGAAAGACTTCAAAGCATGTAAACAGAAAAATACAACCATTCACTTGAACACAAGTAGTCTGGGTCTAGACAGCTGTTCTTGGTCCTTGGGAATGGTTCCCTTCTTCACCCACCTGACCCACAAGTTCTGCATATATCTTTCTGACCATTCCTTCTTAGCCCTCTGTTCTTTTCTCTTTGTGGGTCTGCTCATCTATCCCCAAGGCCAAGAAAACAAGTGCCTTCCATATGTTTAGTAACCATTTGGATTTCCTCTATAATTGCCCGTTATACCCTTTATCCTGTTTGTTGGATATTAGTTTCCTGCTATAATAAATTACCACAAAACATAAATTTACTTTGTCAGAAGTCTGACACAAGACTCACAGAGCTAAAACCAAGGGGTTGGCAGAGCTGCATTTCTTTCTCTAGGCTCTTCATAGGATTCACTCCTTGCCTTTCCCAGTTTCTAGAGGTTGCCAACATTCCTTGGCTACTGGTCCCCTTCCTCCATCTTCAAAGCTAGCAAAGGTAAGTCAAAGGTCTTCTCACACTGCATCACTCTGACCTCTTTTGCCTCCCTTTTCTACTTTTTTTTCTTTAGAGACAATGTCTCGCTCTGTCACCCAGGCTGCAATGTAGTAGCACAATCATAGCTCACTGTAACCTCGAACTACTGAGCTCAAGCAATCCTCCTGCCTCAGCCTCCTGAGTAGCTGGAACTACAGGCATGCACTATCACATCTGGCTAATTTTTTTTATGTTTTGTAGATATGGGGTCTTAATATGTTATTCAGGTTGGTCTCAAATTCCCGGGCTCAAGCAATCCATCTGCCTCAGTCTGTAATCCCAGTGCTGGGATTACAGGCCTAAACCACCACACACAGCCCCTCTTCCACTTTTAAGGACCCTCCTGGATAATCCAGGGCATTTTTCCTATCTTAAAGTCAGCTGATTAGCAAACTTAACCCATCTGCAACCTTAATTCTCCTTTTCTGTGTAAAATAATATATACACAGGTTCCAGGGACTAGGATGTGGACATCTTGGAGAGCCATTATCCTGAGTACCAGAGATATTAACTCAACCTCTTATTTATGTTGCAAACATTTTCTCCCAATCTGTAGCATATTGTCTAATTTTGTTTATGGTAACTTTCACTGTACCAAAGTTCAAAATTTTTATGTAGTTAAATCTACCAATGTTTTACTTTATGGCTCTAAACATTTTCTTCTGGAACTTTTATAGTTTTACATATTTATGTTTAGATTGCTAATATAACTTTCATGGTTTGAGATGAGAATTTAACTCCCTCTCTACAAATGATGTCCAATTTACCAGTACCATTTTAAAAAACTAGAATGTATCATCTCATATTCAACTTTCCCAAACCCTACTTTTTCCCCTTAACTTTTTCCTCCAATGTGCCCCTTCCTATCAAAAGGCATCACCTTCATCTAAGCCAGAAACCTGTCATCCTTGACTCCTCCCTCATCTAATCAATCATCACAGCTTGTCAATTATACCTACGAAATGTATTTCAAATCCATCTTCACCTCACTCTCCATCTTCACCATCACTGTCTTAGTCCAAACATCATTTCTGATTAAATTGGTTGTCCTAGTCCTTCTAATCCATCCTCCTCTACATGGCCATTCTCTTAAGGTCAACTGACCCAATTCTCTGAAGGTCAACTGACCCAATCTGTTCAACAAGAGTCATAAAAGTTTGAGTAAAAGGCCAGGCACAGTGGTATATCCCTATAGTTCCAGCTACTTAGGAGGCTGAGACAGGAGGATTGCTTAGGTATAGGAGTTCTGGGCTATGCTAACTGGGTGTCTGCACTAAGTTCAGCATCAATATGGTGACCTCCAGGGAGTGGGGGACCACCAGGTTGCCCGAGGGGTAAACCAGCCCAGCTTGGAAAAAGTATGTCAAAACTCCCATGCAGATCAGTAGTGGGATAGCACCTGTGAAGAGCCACTATACTCCAGCCTGGGTAACATAAGACCATCAATTATTAAAAAAAAAAAAAGTTTGAGTAAAAGAGCCTAACAGGACAGGCACGGTGGCTCACACCTGCAATACTAGCACTCTGGGAGGCTGAGGCGGGAGGATCACTAAAGGTCAGGAGTTGGAAACCAGCCTGAGCAAGATTGGCCAACTAATATATATAGAAAAAATTAGCTGGGCATGGTGGTGCATGCCTGTAGTCCCAGCCACTCGGGAGGCTGAGGCAGGAGGACTGCTTGAGCCCAGGAGTTTGAGGTTGCTGTGAGCTAGGCTAATGCCAGGGCACTCTCTCTAGCTTGGGCAACAAAGCGAGACTCTGTCTCAAAAAAAAAAAAAAAAAAAAAAAAAAAGAAAGAGCCTAACAGATGTGACTTGTAGTCTGAGATTGAGTGTTAGTTTGATCAAAATAGCTGTGAATGGCATTTGGGTCACTTGGGAAACTCTGAATATGGTATGGCTATTAGACTGGTTCCTAACCTCTAGAAAATTTACTGAAAGGGAAAGGGAAAGATTACTGACCAAAAAAAAAAGTTATAAAGTAGTATGATCTTCATTTGGTTTTAAAAACTCAACATGTATAGACACACATATTTATACACATACACAGAAAAAGATCCAGATGGGACTGCAGTACAGCCTCTATGGAAAATAATATGGGGATACCACAAAGGGCTACAAGTAGAACTACCATTTGATCCAGCAATCCCACTAACAGACATCTACCCAAAGGAAAAAAAAGACATTCTATGAAAAAGACATCTGCACCAGAATGCTTATAGCAGCACAATTCACAATTGCAAAGATGTGGAAACAACCCAGGTGCCCATTGATACATGAGTGGATTACTAAAATGTAGTATATGTATACCATGGAGTTCTACTCAGCCATAAGAAAACAGTGGTGATGTAGCACCTCTTGTATTATCCTGGATAGAGCTGGAACTCATTCTACTAAGTATCATAAAAATGGAAAAATAAGCATTACATGTACTCACCATCAAATTGGTATTAACTGATCAACACTTATGTGTACATATAATAGTGACATTCATCGAGTGTCCAGCAGGTAGGAGGGGATAGGTATATTCACACTTAATGGGTGCAGTGCACACCATGTGGGGGATGGACACGCTTGGAGCTCTGACTCAGGCAGGGCAAAGGCAATATATGTAACCTAAACATTTGTACCTCTGTAATATGCTGAAATAAAAATAATAATAAAGAAAAAAGAAAAAGATCCAGAAAGATAAGCATTAAAGTCATTAAGATGACAACCTCTGGTTATTAGAAATATTATTTTTTAAAATTGTGGCCGGGCATGGTGGTTCACACCTGTAACACCAGCACTTTGGGAGGCCAAGGCAGGAGGATCACTTGAGATCTGGACTTTGAGTCCACCCTGGACAACACAGGGAGACCCCATTTATACAAAACATAAAAATAAAAAAATTAGCTGGGTATGGTGGTATATAAGCACCTGTAGTACTAGCTATTCAGGAGGCTGAGATGGGAGGATTGCTTGAGCTCAGGAGTTTGAAGTTACAGTGAGCTATAATCGTGTCACTGCACTCCATCCTGGAAGACAGAGCAAGATCCTGTCTCAAAAAAAAGAAAAAGAATAAGTGAGATTCTGTGAGGTCAAGCCCAAATTCTCAATCCAGTGTTCTTCCCACTCTACCATACACCCTCTAGTCTGCATATTTGGTTGAAAAAAAACCACCCAGTCAGAAAGTACATACTGTTCCTCTCAGCTAACACTGCTATTCTGTTCCAAAGCTTTATTCAGCCCAAACCTGTGTATAGGGTCTGAGTCCAAAACTCACCACCTGCTGGCCAAGGGCGGAACTGAAGGTATTTTCCCTCCCCCACTGTGGTCTCAAAGATAATGTATTTCTTTCTGAATTTCCTCTTGACATGGGAACATTTAATGAATCTATGCTTCTCTTGATACCTTTATAAAAAACCTGGGGGTGGGGGAGGCAAAAATAAAAAGGGAAAGAAAAAAAGAAAAATCCTATGTTCTTAAGTCTTTCAAAGCTCTTAGTAGGTTATAGGGCTGGGCAAGGATAAACAAACCACTTAACATTTGTCACAGGGGCAGGGAGGTGGAGAAAAAAGAAAAAAAAATTTGCCACAGTTCAGTTGAATGACTAATTAATTGGCAGACCTGTGTTTTTCATGGGCATTTTATGTCCACTGGCCTCTCAGAGCAATTTGTAACTGATACTTAAGATCCAAATATATCTTAGGATGTTAGGTTTATAATTTCACTTTTGCCTCTATGGCATACTGTTGGTCCTTCATTTCATGCTTTTTTTTTTTTTTTTTTGAGACTGAGTCTCATCTCGATCTGTTGCCTGGGGTAGAGTGCAGTGGTGTCATCATAGCTCACTACAACCTCAAACTCCTGGGGGCTCAAGTGATCCTCCTGCCTTAGCCTCCAGAGTAGCTGAAACTACAGGCACACACCACCACACCTGGCTAATTTTCCTATTTTTAGTAGAGATGGGGTCTCCCTCTTGCGCAGACTGGTCTTGAACTCCTGGCTTCCAGCAATCCTTCCACCTTGGCCTCCCAAATCCTGGCCTCAAGCAATCCTCCTGCCTCAGCCTCCCACAGTGCTAGGATTATAGGTCTGAGTCACCAAGCTCTGCCCACACCATATTCTTGATCAGAAACCTATCCTGTAATCATGATTAACCTGTAAGAAGTGATTAGCTACCATAAAAATCACATCCAATTTCCTTCTAGGAATGCTGTGAGGGGAAGACAGACTGCCTATACAATTTGCCTCTT